TCTTATGGTTGCTATAATGATCTTCTTTACCATATATTTGTCCGCATTCTGGGATGCTCTCTTGTTGGCAATCAGTCCTAGCATTTTATGGACCGTATCAGTTTTATGATCATTTGGGTTTAGGTTCTTGTTTATGATGACTTCTTTCTTTCAAAGTACCCGGTACCGCTCAGCAATGCCAGGTAGCTATAAATGCATTGTCTCTTTTCCTTTTATGAATTTCATACCAAATTCTGCTCGGTACCGCCCGGCACCTCCCAGTACCGTCCGATACTTCCCGATACCGTTCGGTACTGCTCGGTACCGTCCAGTATTGCCCGGTTCCGTCCGGTAACGTCCGGTACTGCCCTGTACCGTCCGGTACTGCCCGTACCGCCGGTACCGCCTGGCACTGCCCGGTACTGCCCAGTACCGTCCGGTACTACACAGTTCCAACCGTTACTGGCCGGTACCGTCCACTACCACCTGGCACTGCCCGGTATCGTCCGGTACTGCCCAGTACCGTCCGGTACTACCCAGTTCCATCCAACACTGCCCGGTACCGCCTGGCACTGCCCGGTACCGTAGCTCCCGCTGCTAGTACCGCTCAGCACTGCCCGGTAGCTAAAACCGCTTTATTTGTCTCTATTTCTCGTATAAATTTCATACAAAATACTGCCCGGTACCGCCCAGCAGTGTCCAGCGCTGATAAATATATTGCAGGGTAGCTAGGTACGCATTATTTGTCTCTTTTTGTATTATAAATTTCATACCAAATACTGCCCAGTACTCCCCGGTACCGCCCAGCACTGCCCGGTGCTGATGAATCTACTGCCCGGTAGCTATACACGCATTGTCTCTTTTTGTTTTGTAAATTTCATACTAAATACTGCCCGACACTTCCCGTTAAAGCCTGGCACTGCCCGGTACAGCCTGGCACTACCCGGTACCGGGCAGTGCCGGATGGTACCGAGCAGTGCCGTACGATACCGGGCAGTATCGGGCGGTACCGGGCAGTTCCAGGCGTTACCGCACGGTACTGGGCCGTACCGGACGGTACCGCCTGGCACTGCACGGTACAGCCTGCCACTGCCTGGTACCGTCCGGTACCTCCTGGTACTGCCCGGTACCGCCTGGCACATTTCGGTACTGTCCAGTACGGCCCGGTACCTCCTGGTACTACCCGGTACTGCCCAGCACCGTCCTGCACTGCCCAGTACCACCTCGGGCGGTATCGGACGGTACCTGGCAGTGCCGGGCGGTACCGGGCATTGCTAGGGTGTACCAGGTAGTGCCTGAGAAAAAAAGAAATAATGCGTTTATAGCTATTGGGCAGTAATTTTATTAGCACCGGGCAGTGCTGAGCGGTACTAAGCAGTACCGGGCGGTACCGGACGGTACCAGACGGAACCTGACGATACCAGACGGTACCGGGCAGTATTGTGTGGCTGCTCTATGTGGAATCTATAGTACTCTAGACCAGTGTTGTCCAAACTGGGGTCCGCAACAGAGATCATAAGGGTACGTGAACAAACAAGGAACACACACACACAAACAGAAACATAGCATTTTCTATGAATCATCTGTTTTCGTGTATCAAATTCGATTTTATTAACTAATACTCTTGCAATGCAATTTTTTTCGCAAGTAGTATATCATATGCATTATCCTAAATAAAACAGTTGTTTAGCCATAGTGGACGGGGGGGGGGGGGTCGTAAGAGTACAAGAAGGAAATAAAGGGTGGAATAGGCGGAAATGTTTGAACAACACTGCTCAAGACTAGGTCTTATGGTCGCTGCAATGATCCCCTTTACCATACCTTCGTCCGCATGCAGGTATACTCTCTTCATGTTAGCAATCAGTCTAGCATTTTATGGACATTTTCAATTAAATGATCACTTGTGCTTGGGCTTATGTTTGATCCTAAATCATTGACGAAAATAGTAAATAATATAGAAAATAATCGGCGTCAAGACCTCTCCTTGAGGTACTCCGCTGGTTACTCGTTGCCATGTAGAATGCACACACACACACACACACACATTATACATACATATATACATATATTTATGTCAATATATATATATATATATTATATATATAAATGCATACACACACACACACACACACCCAACACACACACACATATATATATATATATATATATATATATATATATATATATATATATATATATATATAATATATATATATATATATATATATATATATATATATATATATATAGTATATGTATATGTATGTGTGTGTGGTGTGTGTGTGTGTGTGTACAGAGTACACACACACGCGCACATATATATATATGTGTGTGTGTATATATATAC